AATGGTCAGAGAAAACGGACTTCAAACCTGCATATTATGAGTTCTTATAAGATGAGCGTCCTTATACATCTCAGGAGCAATGTTCAAGTAACATTCGATATTAGATATCATTGATGGAAAGTCCTTTCCATGTTTCCTGAAGTGATAAACAGCGTCCAACACACTTTTGAAAGACAGTTTAGCTTCTCCGGCTAATCTGTTAGCTTCTGCATAATCAGCCTTCAACTCTCTGAGGAAATCAGCTCGACCTGGTCCTAACAGATCTGCGAGCAGAGCGGCTGTGTTGCCTTCTGAAAGACAACGATTTCTGTATGGTCTACGAATGGTACTCACCTTTAACATGGGCAGAAACGATTTCCAGCATTGAAATGAAGCTACTCGCTGTATTCTCATTCAGATCTTCACAAAGTGTCTTCGCGACATTTACAATGTCAGGATTTGCATTCTGTCTAGTAATCTTTGCATTAAGCATTCTCAGTTCATATTTAGATGCGTTTTGAAAGATCTTGTTGGAACCGACTTCGAAAGTTTTGATGTCTTCCCCAAGAGCTCCCTCAATTCGTATTCTGTTTCTATTTTTCAGAACGAATGGCTCATAACCTTCTGTTTGGATTACTCTGGAAAACACATTACCAAGTTAGGTGAACAACATTGAACTAACCTATTGGGATTGATTCTGTTGGTAACTCCATTGCTATCGGTTACAAACACAGTCTTTCCCTTTCTTCCTCCCAACGTCATCGTCGCATCTCTGTTTGTGGTGAAGAAAGCTTCGGGGTTATCCATCCTATTGATGGTGCGGATAATGTGCGAGTCCTTTTTAATATCCCCGCGGTTGTTCTCGACGAATCTCTCAAAAGCTGCTCTGACATCGCCTTCACTAAGATTTTGTGAAAAACTTTGAAAACGTTCCGCTTGGATTCTCTCGATCACTTGATTTACTGTAGTCGGCTGTATCAAGGTGTGAGTGAAGAAGAAGACGCTCATAGAGAACTGCATCACATCCAAAGCGGTTAACTCTTCTTTCTCGTTCTTATCTAACAAAATAATGAAACTGACAGCGATTATCGTTCGATTTAATGCGAAAGAGTTCCGGAAGGTCACAACTGATCTCAGTGACTTGCTTCCTATGCTTCCACGAGTAACTTGTCGATTAAGTCGCCAAGTTACGAAAAAGGAATAAGCCAATGGTGTTAGAGCTAGACTACCATATAACACGAAACTATCCAAGCTAAGCATGTCTTCATCATGCAATGCTTTGTCTACTATCTGATAAGCGGATCTGTAACATATTAAACGAAATAAACATTGGAGGGAGTTGCAAACCTCTCGCAACCATAACTCGTTGCTCCCATTCCACCTACAGAAGCATATGTCGCGGCTGCGGCGACACCCCATCCCATGGGTGTCAACATCGAAGCCACGGCTAAGACTCCGGCTCCTGAAAAAAGTTTGATCAGGAAATACACCTCTTTGCAAACCTAATCCATTAACAGCTGCAGCACCGTCGCCAACCAGTTTGTGTGATTTCCTTTTTGCTGGAGTGACAGTGAATTCCACTTGTACATTCGCTTCTTCGTCATATTTGAACCCGTCAGGTGAACAGCTATAGTATCCGTTGAGTGGTATGCATATATCCATCGGATTCCATTTGTTATTATCCTTGAAATTCGTCCATGACTTGTAGGTTCTGCCCATCGTGTCAATGAAGTAGACAGTCTCTCCTTCACCTTTGACGGCATACAACGGCTGACGAAACACTTTCTCGTTTTCGTAACAAAGAATGAAAATGATGGAAACGCATAGTTTGTCTCCTGATCCGACTATCTTACGGTGAGCCTACAAGGTGTATGCGATATGAGAGAACTAACGAGAGACTCCTCACCTCATAAATCTGTTTCACAATCTGCTCTGAAGCACTGTTCTGCTTCTCATCATATGCTTCC